GCTGGTCTAATGATTAGGGAAATACATGAGGAATATGTAATTAATTCTTTGCAACCAGTTATCACTATTACACAAAGAAAAGACATCAGATATTTATTTTTTTTAAACGTGTATTTTGAGCAGAGAAAATATTAAACGAATGAACAATTCATACATGCACTTTCAAGGGCCCGTTTTAATCTTCCCCTTATCTCGTACCCAGATCTTCCACGGCCAGAGTGGGATCTGGGATCCACCGAGTTTTACGGGGTTGGACTAGGCTGACTCTTGCTGAGCTTAAAGAAAACGAAGATGTTTTCACTTTCATGTGTACACGTGCGTAACTGGGAAGGTACAAACTCCAACTTCGTTCCCCGAGGCTTCTCGGCCACATTCCGTCTCAGAGGCACGCATCTTTTCATCTTTTTAGCTATTTTCAATTGTCTTAACCTATAAAGTGAACCCCCTTTTTCATTTTTCTCAGCCTTTCCTGGCCTAATCTTTTTCGGGGGACAATAAAAAAAAGAAAGAGATACGAAGTTCTTTGGCCTGACACGCAAGCAAAAATAGCAACGGTTAATATACATACCAAGTATTACGGTAAGTATTGCACTGTCAGAATCAGCCAAGGTTGACCAAATTTCTTCACTTGCTTTCGCCCGTTTTTAATATCGCAATTATCACACGGCGGGAGAATTTGTCGGATTTTGGGAGGAAAATGCATGTTTAAACCTCATTCGAGCAAGGATGGGACGTTTCATCTCGGCTCTCCGTTGGAAACAAAAGGATTCACTCCTACGGCTATTTTTTGAATTTGCCACAGATAAAATAACTATTTTGTATCTATATTCCTTTTACTCGTATTCTTGTTTGGGTCACCTACTCGGTTAGTTCCACGAACTATTTAGGTGTCCCAAACTTCTGCACAATGAACCTACAATTAAAATCCTCTTTCCCTTCACAATCTCTCTATTTTATATTTTAAAGCACTAATTTGTCAGTAATTACAATTATTCTGTGTGAGTTTAAATAAAAATTGACTTAACTTGACTTTTCAACAATATAATTTACACATAGCTCGCACCACCTAGAGGCCTGTCCCCGGGCGAGTGCAGCAGAAAATCCTATGCTTCATGTTGAAGGATTGTTCACATTAACAAACGGAAAGGCTGACCAGTTTATGCGCATTTCTAACACCGAATATTCATAGATATGAAAACTTTGACCTGACGCGAATGTTCAACAAACAATGTTTTTGTGATTCAAATATACCTAACAGCCATGGTTGAATACATGTCAATCACTTTCCTCGTTCCATTATTTCTAAGAGAATACAAAAGCTAAATTTCAGCATTTGTACTGGTGTAGCTCATAAGCGAGAAATCGAGAGGCATACAACATGGAAGGTCTGAAAGATTTGCTTGCTCCTAAAACACTCCACTGGTTCAGTTATGTGGCAAATGTATTTTGGATTTTGCTCGGAATTATCCTATCAGCAATCTTTCTAGACATTGAAAACAGCGAACCGAGATTTGACTTTCGTTGTGGCTCAAATGGCGACAAGGAACTCATTCGTGGAAAGTGTTACGAACAGTACGATAAACAATACAACAAATTCCCTGTGTATGGATTCGTGATTATTAACTTCATTGTTACTGCAAGTGTTTGTGGAATATACTCCCAAGCGGTGAAGTCGAGAGTTGAGGAACTTGAACGCAACATGCATCAAGATGTAGAACAACAGACTCAACAGAGAAACAATAACTTAACTGAAAGAAAGCTTTTTAAAGCGTACCGTTTGCAACTTCTTGCCAGAGTTGTTCTTGGGATTTCTTTTGTCCTTCTGCAGACCAAATTACTTTATCCTCTTAGCTTTCCCTCGAACTTTAAGTGCAACTTAACGAGAGACGAGATTTTTTCAGACATTACGGCCAGTGCGTCTCGCAACGAAACTCTAACTCAAACGTCATACGAATGTCATAATCAACGAGCAGCTAAGAAGACCTTCTGGGCTGATGCCGTGATCGTTGTAACTGGATCGTTTGCGTTTCTTGTGTTTATCGAGTGTCTTTACTTGTTATCACGTGCAAAAAAAGTAGAAAGGTTCACGGAGGACCCGAAATTTCATAAATATTATCTGATTTCGACTAAGCCAAATCCAGCTTCTGCGGCAGAACAAGAGCAAGAGTTATTACCAACTATTTCCAGCAACTTAGTAGCTCCTTCCATTGAACAAATGAAGAAACATGTCCGAGAAGTCACCAAACGACCTTACAAAGATCTTAAATTACCTTTTGATGATCCAGGCGAAGGAAGAGATCTGAAGCTTGACGAAATCTTCACCAACTTGATTGTTTACAAGGGGAGAGCTCACTACAACTTTTCTGGAGACAGAGGGGAACAACTTAACGAGTACCACAAAGCCAATGAAAAATTGACACCAACACTACCAGGAGAAATTTTCGATCCTGATGAGCAAAAGATTCTTGTTGTAGGTCGTCCTGGGATTGGAAAAACTATGTTTAGCACAAAGATTCTTCGCGAGTGGGCGTCCGATAATTTGTTGAACGAAACACAAAAATCACAAATAGATTTTAAAGTCGCTTTTCTAGTTAAGTTGAGGATGTTCAACTTTACCGACAAAGAACTAAATCTTCTGGGCGTCCGATAATTTGTTGAACGAAACACAAAAATCACAAATAGATTTTAAAGTCGCTTTTCTAGTTAAGTTGAGGATGTTCAACTTTACCGACAAAGAACTAAATCTACGCGAGCTTCTGGATCACTCAGAGTATTCAACAACTCTATCTGAAGAGACCTGGAGCTACATCCGTGAAAACCCGCAGCGAGTACTGATCATTTTTGATGGATTTGATGAATATTCTAGGAAGGCTGAAATCAATAAAGACGACGTCCAGTACAGAAACAATGAAGAAGACAGGATGCCTGTCCATTTCCTGCTAAAGAAAATGTTATCCGGAAAAATTCTTACCGGTGCGACAGTGTTAATGACTACAAGACCCAATGCCGTTTCATGTATCAGAAGTCCTAACTTCGACAAAACAGTTGAAATTCTGGGATTTAACACTGAGCAAGTGGAAGATTATGTAGAGAAGTTTTCAAAGCAGGCGGACAAAGCAGAAACCATAAAGCAACACATTACAAGTAACTCAAACCTTCAAGCCTTCTGCTACATCCCTGTGAATTGTTTCATCATTTGTTCGTGCTTGTTAGAGTTGCTTAGTAACACTGGCTTTACTAGCCTTCCGACAAGACTGACAGAAATATACTCAATTGCAATAAAAATGTTTTACTTTAGTTACGATGATAATCAATATCGCCACGATAAAGCCGAAGGTCAACAGTTTTTTCTGATGCCGTTTAAGGAACTTTCTTCGCCTGTACAAGAGGTGTTCAAACGTCTGGAAAAAATTGCCTTTAATGGAATTAAAGAGGGAAGACTAATTTTTGAATCACACGAAGTTAAAGACCTAAAGAGTAATGGCTTGTTCCACCGTTTACCTGACGCTAGAGAACGTCCTTTAGGAGAGAGAAGAGAACAATATTGTTTTTTACACCTGACAATACAGGAATTCTTGGCTGCGAAGTATTTGGTAGACACGTGCAGTTCCGAAGACCTACAGAAGTTTGTTTCCGATCACATCCAGCATGGCGCGTGGAGGGTTGTGATGCAGTTTGTTGCTGGATTGCTGGATGAAAAAGAAGGCAAATCAACAGATATTTTCAGCGCCCTTCTTCCCTCAAAAACAAATACTAAAGAAGTGAAAATTAAGTTCATTGAAGAGGTCATTGAAGACTCACAGGAACAAAGTGAAACTCTGACCTGCTGGCCAGCTGATGATGAAGACAAGCCTCTGGTGGTGATGCTATTCAATTGCATGTATGAAAACAAAGCCTCCGGTCGAAAAGTTCAAGAGAAACTGGCGAAAATTGGTTGTAATGCGCTTAATTTTAGTCAGTGTTCCCTGTCACCTCTCGACTGTTTAGCATTAGTGCATGCACTTAAATCTGTTGAAGGAATTTTGGATTTTGATTTAAGGTTCAACAACCTTCAGTCGCTAGGATGTATTGAGATTGCGAAGTTGTTACCTGGCAACCAACACAATCAGGGTTTCTGCAAACTAAAGAGTTTAAACCTCAGTGGTAACAACATAACTGCTGAAGGTGTTAAACATTTATCTCAAGTACTCACACATACTAACTGCAAACTAAAGAGCTTAAACCTCAGTGGTAACAAGATAACTGCTGAAGGCGTTAAACATTTATCTCAAGCACTCACACACACTAACTGCAAACTACACAGCTTAAGCCTCTGCAAAAACATCATAACTGCTAAAGGTGTTCAACACTTATATCAAGCACTCTCACACACTAACTGCAAACTAAACAGCTTAGACCTCAGGTTTAATGAAATAACCCAGAAATGTAAAAATCTCTTAAACTCATTAAACATAAACTGTAAAGTATTTTTCTAGTAAATCCTTGTCTGCAATGTAAATGTTTTCAACAACCTTCAGTCGCTAAGATGTATTGAGATTGCGAAGTTGTTACCTGGCAACGAACACAATCAGTTTGGTGAACTAAAAAGATTAAAACCTCGCTTTTAGACAGATAACTGATGGAGGCGCAAAATATTCAGACTTACTGCACTCACACAGACTAACTGCAAACTAAACAACTTAAAGCTCAATAATAACCAGATAACTGATGAACGTAAAACACTTCACTGCCAGCACTGCACTCACACATACTGACTGCAAAAGAAACAAGGCTTAGACCTTAGAGCTAACCAAATAAAAAAACCGGGAAGGGAAAAATCTATCAAAAGCAAGGAAAATAAACTATAAAGTATTTATCTAAGGATGTGTAAATATATTTTTCTGAACAGCAATAATTTGAGCTGCATAATTCTTTGACATTTTAATTTTCGATTTTTTAAAAAAAGGAGTTAAGCTTTTTTTTCGGCAGTCAGGTAGCTTCTAAGCAATCTCGAAGCTCTTAGGTTTCCATTTATATATTGTTGTGTTGTTGTTGTTTTTTTTCATAATAATAGTGTGGGTTTTTGTGAGAAGAGAAAATTTGTTTGGTCACTACTATAGCTTTACATAGCAAAAGGGTGCGATTTAAAAAAAACAATGTGTATTAATATAATGAAGACTGCAACAACTTGATAGTGGACATTTATATATATAAATTGAACTTAGATAACTAAACACATATACAACTACATATGAAGACATTTTATAGGAATGTTATTAGTATTATGTGATAATGCTTCCACTGATTCACAGTAAGCGTCACCTTAGAATTCTATTTGCAGTTATTGCTTTTTCTAAAAGTGACTTACACATCATGTTTAGCCTTCCTGTAAGTATTCATCTTTGTATGTAAGTTTAGTTTTTAATATGATTGAAGTTGTGTTAGACCAATATTATAGATGTCGGAATCTTCTTGTAAACTATGGCTATTAATACACTATCCCTAAATGATTAAAGGAGTCGTGTCAAGACAGTTGCCATCTTAAAGCTAGAGTACAGGTCGCTTCGCATCAAATGAATTCCAAAAAATAATGATCCAGCTTTTTTTTATTTAAGACTATATTTAGGCATTGAAAAACTGATTGCTGTCGTCTGTTGTTACGGGTGACAAGGGTTATGGGTGGCTACGGGTGGCTACGGGTTACTACTGGTGACAAGGGTGGACATGGATTGGAAACTTGTCAAGTTTTAATTCTATGCCCGCAAAAATCACCAAAAAAATCTATGATGGTTAGTGTTTCTTAATGAATTTTTTTTTCATGTATCTTCTTCATAGTAAACAGGAGCATTTTGTGTATGGGTATAGGATATAAGTAGGGAGCGGAAGTGAGGGCCTTTCTCCTTTAATATGCCTTGACGCTATAAAATTTGTATTACTTAGTTTCTTAACACTTGTAGAGACCATTCAACTGAAAATTTGGGCAAAATCAATGCTCAGGAATGTAAAAAGCCCACTTCCGGTTGACATGCGTCGCTCAAAAACGCCTTTGCTTAAGTTCCTTGGTGACATAGCTTGTTTAACTAGCCCTGGATGGATTGAGACCATTTGTATTTGTAATCAGCAAAAATTTGAAAGACGAAAAACGTCTACGAAAATCATCTACAGCTTGATATAAAAGGCAGTTTTATTATAAAATAAAGCGGTCATCTCAAAGTTGGCATCAAACGTCTTTATTGTGGGTGATAAATAAATAATATTCCAACTATGAAAGGTCTCAGCCCTCCCCCTGTGGGGCGGCAGTACATCCGGGACAGCTGTGTAAAGAGTCATGAATGAAGATGTCACAGTCCGTACAGAACAGATGTTCACACTGAGGACAGCAATAAACCTGAAAAAAATGACAAAGTTATTTTACTTATTGCCTAATTTTCAAAAGCGCATCACTGAACTCGGTGCTCTCTAATAATCTTCATTTGTCTCTTGTGTACCGTAAATTGCCGCTTATAAGGCCTGTGGCCCGTTTCTCGAAAGTCCCGATAATTAACGGGCCCGGTAAGCCGTCTCCGTTTATATTAAAGATCGAGGTTTCAAAAGTTTTGCATCTAGCATGATAAAACTATCAGTTAGTGAAACAAAATGAAGCAGTTTGCTAGCCAGGACCCGCGCTCTTATTCTTTATATTTCGATTTGAATATTTGATTTCGGGCCCGAAAAGTTACCGGGACTTTCGGGAAACAGGCCCCTGGGCTTATACATTTTCGTAAGGGTTTTTAGGAGGGAGGGGCTCATAACCGGAATAGAAAAATAGCTTCTAAACAAGCTTTAAGGTACAGAAAATGAACGGGCAACAAAAAACATGCAACTTAAATTTCCGTTATTTACCCTGGGCAGTGCTTATAGCACTAATACTAGTGGGGCCGAGCAAATGCCTGAAATTACAAACAATTCAAATTGAACTTAAGAGGGTTAAGAATCCCAACTGGCTGGAGGTAAACTAGCTGGCTATTTAAAAGCGTGGCCGAGGAATTGAACTCGGGACTACCGTGAACAAATGTAGCAAGCGGTCAGAAACTCGGGGCCTCCTAATTTCAAGTCCAGCGCCCCATACCGCTCGGCTACGCTGCCTCATCACTTGTCTTGAAACATTGCTGCAAAATGAGTTGAACAGCGATGTTGCGCGTTTTACCACCCACATCAAACCTGTCTTGCAACAAATCAGGTTGTTAACAGGTTTGAACGTGGGTGGCAAATCGCGCACCATCGCTTTTGAACTCGTTGACAAGTTGCACCTTTTTGTTGCCCGTTTTACCGAAGCTTTAACAGTCCGGCCAAAACAGTTTTGCATTTACTGTTCTTTTCAGGCTTCAAAACGTCTTAATAAATCGAATTCTTTTCAATACAACCGGGGGGGGGGGGGGGGTTTTTTTTTGTTGGGGTTTATATGGGGGTGTAATTTTTTTTTTTTATGGGTAGTTGGGTCTTTTTCGTGTGGGTTTGGGAGACACCGAAGGCAGTGGTGTT